AAGGAGAAGGTAGTGGAAAAGAGTCTATTAGTTTTCAGGGCATGTTTTTGTACCGTAGATTTAAAGATATAATGCCAGGTGATTGTTACTTATGATGAGATTCGCAGTGAGGATGAAAACTGCGGGGAAAATGCCAATTTCCACACTGAAGACAGGCTGCAACCAGTCAAAGCTCATCATCTGGAACAGGGCGGTCGGGTCTGTCACGTGACAGGGTCCATCCTCCAAACAGGGGTGTTTCATAGATCGTTTCTGATGCATTTCAATACTCACGGTGAAAAGTATCGAAGTAGATATTCATAAGTGATAACCATTAACCCTATCAGTTGATGAAAAACTTTCTGATAGAAAAACATACGACAATGGATTTTTATTTGTCGTATTCAAAACAAGCTCGACTGATGATATTAAAACGTGGTTTTTAGGTCGATCAAATTGATAATCCTAGCTCTACGAAATTTCTGAAAAGCCCCTGTTTTGGCCAAATTGTTTGCGCCACAGGCAAATTTTTGAAATGAAAACTTGCCAAAAAAGACCTCTTATTTCGGTGAGCGCTCTCCCTCAAAGATAGTATATATTGGCGCCAAAAGAGGCTCTGGAAAAAAGTTTGGGCCAACCAGCCAAACGTGGTCTCAAAACTGTACCAAAGAATTTTCGAAAAGTTTGTCAACCTTTTTTGAAAATGACTAAACTGATTTTCCGAGCTCTCCCAAAGCAGTAAAGAGACTTTGTTTGGGCCAACTTTTCAGTGCCGCAGGCAAAATTTTGAAAAAAACAGGCCAGAAAAACAGTTTTCTACTTTCCCCTCCACATTTCAAGATGTTTTTTTCTCAGTTGTTTTACGTGTGTTTATGCATGATGTTACGATGTGAGGTATGCAGAACTAATCTGTTCACAACACTTAATTTGATCACCATGCCAAATTTCATTGCATAAGGAAAATGTTAAAAAAACTTTTTCATTTTGAATTTCAAATGTTGGGGGTAAGTGGAAAAGATCCACACATTTTGACTGAAAAATCGCGTTTTTATGGTGCGGGCTCCTCCCTCAAAATTAGTCCGTATTGGCGCCGAAGGAAATTTCAGACAAAATTTTAGAGTTCTTCAGCCAAAATCGATATCTCAAAATAGTACAAAGGGGGGACACTTTGTGTAGTCAGGTGGTCGAACCCTTGAGGGTGGGGGTTAGGGGGTTGGGCGAGGTTATCCCCGGGCCTCCTTAAATCTATTCATGTATACAAAAACAGAATCAGTTTGATATGCAGTGTCACAGAATGTTCCAATGATTAAAGTAAAGAGAATCATTAACAAAAAATAATTTTTTTAAATTCTTAAAATATCTGTTTTTTTTTAAATAGCTATTAAATTAGTTTTAAAATGGAAAAAAGATAAATCTTAAGAACTCAAATGATGTAGAAAATGCAATTGTATTCAATTGTCAATTCAATAAACGCGTGATTTGTGGCGTAGGTGAAGATGGGTGGGTGGGGTAGGGGGTTGAGGAAATGCAAAAAATAAGTAAATGTGAATTTGCTAAGGAATTGAGTGGGCTGTAACTAATGCAGAAAAGCTGCTAATTTTGCAGAAAAATCGGCTAAATTTTGTAGAGACTATAATCCATTAAAATCCATTAAAAAGTATTTTAAATGGATTATAATCAAAACTTTTTTCTGTAAAAATCATGGATTATAATGGATTATAATCGATTGCGTGGTCCCAAAGTGTAATTTTAATTCATTATAATGCCAACAATTTCCACCACGAAAATCGATTATTTTATTCGATTATTATTGATGGAACTTCACTGCAGGGAAAATTGTTTGAGGTTGAAGTTTCATGGATACTAATCAATTATAATCAATTTTCGTGGTCACGAAAGTTGCCATTATAATAAACTATAATTACAATTTGGGACCACACAAT